TCAACCCTCAATCTGGAAAACTGGTGGATTGCTCCTTAATTTGGCCACCATCCTTGGTCTGATGTAGGAGGACTTACTGATAGAAAAGCTACTGTGGGTATGGCTTTCTGTTTTTGGGAGCACTCAAATGCTTCTACCATATCTAAATCATTCAGTCTCTTTGATATCACTGCTTTATGGATTGGTATATGAAATACTAAATAATACTGTCAAATAATAGCTAATCTTTATTTCTTACTACCACTTCATTCAATTCTGTTTATCAAAATAACAAAACTTTTCTTCTTGCATAGAACTCTCTAAATATGATTAGCCCATTTATAATAGTGCCAACAGTTTGACAGCTTGGAGAACCTTTTCTGACCTGCAGAAATAGCAGGTTATTTTTTTATAAGGTAGTTAGTGCAATGGAGACAAATCTCGTCTTGCAGACTGGCATGGGGGCTATCATAATACAAATATTAAACAGCATTCATGGATAACCAAAAGCCTATAGATTATTTCAAATATAGCTTTAAATAAATGAATTCAAGATGGCATATTAGTTCCCATGCTTTACTGCAGTGTTTATTAACTGAAAAAGTACATTTATCCTAAAAAGTATGCATTCTGCAGAAAAGATGCTTTCACCATTTATTGAATTTTATTTTCTATAACAGTACTTTGAAAATAACTAGCAAAGCTGGAAACAGAAGAGGAAGGAAATTTAAGTGGAGGCCCAGAGAAATCTTCTTGAAAATGTGGTGCATAAAGCTATGCAGTTTTCCAAGGAAAGTGAATGAAGCTACATTACTTGGGGCATCATTTAAAACTGGTCTTGAGAAAATGCCAGAGGGTATTTTGTGCTTCAAAGGTTTTTAGTGCTCAACTTTCATTGATATCCAACACCCTTGAGGATACAGGCTTAAATCCTAGTCCTGTTGAAATCAATGGAGTTTCCTGTTGACTTGATTGAGATCAGAGTTTGGCTCTAGCACTAGTTTCTAGCATTTGGAAAATATCTATGTGTATACAGGACACATAAGCAAGTGCTAAAGTGCTTTTCTGGAATGGGATGGCCATACACACATGCTTAAATGAATTGGAGAGAAAGATGTAAAACCATTCTGCATTACTGAGAGGTTAAATTAAAGACATAGAAAGTTAGGGTTGGAAGGGACCTCAGGCGGTAATCTAGTCCAACCCCCTGGTCAAAGCAGGACTGTCCCCAATTTTGGACCCCAAAACCACGGTTTATCTACCTGGGTCATAAAAAACCTCTAAGGATGAATATTCCTCTCTGGGTAACCTGTTCCAGTGATTACTAACTTCCTAGTGAGACTGTTATTCCTCATATCTAACCTAAATTTTGCTGGCTGCAACTTGAGACCATTACTCCTTGTTCTGTCATCTGCAACCACTGAAAACAGTCTAGCTCTATCCTCTTTGGAAACACCATTCAGGTAGTTGAAGGTCGCTATTCAATTCCCCCTCAGTCATCTCTTTTCCAGCTTTAATAAGACCAGTTCTCTCAGCCTCTCCTCAAAAAAAAAAAAAAAAAATCACATTCCCCACTCTTCTAACTGTTTTCACTGACCTCTACTGGACTCTCTCCAATTTATCCATATCCTTTCTGTAGTGAGGGACCCAAAGCTGGACACAGTACTCCAGATGTGACTTCACCGGTGCCAAGTAGAGGGGAATAATCACTTCCATCAATTTTCTGGCAACATTCTTAATAATGCAGCCCAGTATGCTGTTAGCCTTCTTGGCAACAAAGGCACACTGGTGGCTCATATTCAGCTTATTGTCCACTGTAACCCCCAGGTCCTTTTCTGCAGAGCTGCTGCTTAGCCAGTCAGTCCCCAATCTGTACCTGTGCATAGGATTGTTCTGTCCTAAGTATAGGACTTTACATTTGTCCTTATTGATCATCATGAGATTTCTTTTGGCCCAATCTATCCCATCGTCTAGGTTGTTGATGAGGATATTGAACAAAAGCAGCCCCAGGACCAACCTCTGGGGCCACTCCACTTGATACCGGCTGCCAATTAGACATCGAGCCATTGATTATTACTCTGAGCCTGATGCTCCAGCCAGTTTTCTATCCACCTTACAGTCCAATTATTCAGCCCATACTTCCTTAGCTTTTCTGTGAGAGTGTTGTGGGAGATGGTATCAAAAGCCTTGCTAAAATTATGCTGTATCACACCCACTGGTCTCCCCGCATCCACAGAGCCAGTCATTTCATCATAGAAGGGATTCAGGTTGGTCAGGCATGACTTGCCCTTGGTAAATCCATGCTGACTGTTCCTAATCACCTTCTTCTCCTCAAGTGGTTCAGGTGGATTCCTTGAGGACCTGCTCCATGATTTTTCCAGGGACTGAAATGAGGCTGACCAGTCTGTAGCTCCCTGGATCCACCTTTTTTCCCCTTTCTTAAATATGGGCACTGTTTGCCCTTTTCCAGTCATCTGGGACCTCTCCTAATCACCATGAATTTTCAAAGATAATGGTCAGTGGCTCTGCAGTCACATTGGCTGACTTCCTCAGCACCCTTGGGTGCATCACTTGTGGCCCCATGGACTTGCATGCATCCAGCTTTTCTAAACAGGCCCTAACCCATTCTTTTGCTACTGTTGATTGCTCACTTCCTCCCCAAACTGTTGCCAGGTGTAGTAGTCTGATAGCCGACTTTGCTCATGAAGACTGAGGTAAAAAAGGTAGAGTACTTCAGCTTTTTCTGCATTTTCTCTCAGATTCAGGGTCAGTTTTTCTATGGCTTTGCTTCAGCAGCATACTTCAGCACTTTTATCTTGGAGCAATCCTGTTGACTTCTCTTCACACTCAGAAAGCCATTTAATTTTAAATCGAAAAGTTATCACTTGACTTTTGTTCTCATTTTGAACCTCAGAAGGCAGTCAAAACCTTGTCTGGTGTCTACTCATGCAACTAGACAAGATCCATCATCTTCTTAATTCTACAGTCACTAAAATTTTAGAAGAGAAAAAATAAGCCAATACCAATAATAAATACAGATAAAAAACACATAAACTCCCTCCCATGACACACAGCACATTTCAAGACAAACTAAATATCTGACTGGTGAGCAACACAGATTTTTCTAGAGTCAGCAGCCTAAGGTCTTTGTTCTTGTATAATATTATAGATTAAACTTCATAAGGTGCAGAAGCTTTCATGACTTCTTTTTGGAGACTCTGATTCAGACTGGCTACCAAAACCTTGAAATACATAAACTCTGATTGAGACCTGCCTTCAGTTTACAGAAGAACATACAAACTAGGCCACTGATGTCTTAGAGAAGACTTAGCAGTTGGCATTCTTGTTACAACTTTGCTATATTAAAGTTTTCATATGTACTGACACCTGGTGGTTGATAAATGACTCTCCTCTGACATAAGCATTACTAGGTCAATGTTTCCAGAATATTCAAGAAAACAAAAAGACTGAACTGCTAAAAGGGCACCAAATGGAAAATAAAATGAAAGAAAAACAAACTTGGAAGATAATGGAAACGTCATTAACTGGAACCAACCTGCATGTCTGCAATAAAACACAAGCATGAGGCACATTCTCTAAAATGCAGTAATAATTAAACTGAGCCATCTTCTGTTTAGAGTATTTTATTTAATGAGTCTCACATTTTGGAAACACAATGTTACTTATAAATGTGTTTAAAAACAAAAAGTAGTTAAACCAAATGATGGCAATATGCTGATGCACTTTGAGGATGATCTTTCAAGATGAGGACTGTAAATTCTGTATGAGAGAGAAACAAATGCAGAATGCATTTGTAAACGTGTTTGGAATAAATTTACCAATTTGGAAATTAAGTGTGGAGAATTTAAAAAATTATCCTGCCCTTTAAGGGGCTGATCCTGACATTGGCTGCGTGGCCACAACAATCCTATCACAGGATTCTGTCAAAGACTTTGTGGCCTCAGAGCACCTAGCACCTCACAGGATCAGGAAACATTTCTGTTTAAAATGTGGACCATATGACTATTTGTATGGAAATTGTAACAGGAATGTGTTTGTTTTGTAGTAGTACTTAAAATGTGTTACTTAGTGCTGCTATACACCCTCATGCACACAAAAGGAAAACAGTACTTCCCTGAAATGACAATTATAAATAAAAATAGGAAAAGTGTGATTTGAGCTGCTTTCAACACGTTCCTTAGTAACGAGAATTCAGGCAAGCTTCCAGATATCTTTGACAAGCTACAGAACAATCTCAGCACCCATTGGCCTCAGGAATATCCAAGCTACATAAAACACCTAGCTTCTAATTTTGGACACCTAAAATAGATACGCAATTATAACATACACAGCACCATTGTATCCGAGGACAGGGCCTTAAATAGGTTGGGTGTTTTTGTAATTAAGTAAAGTTTGGTCATTTGACTGGTGAAAATTGAAAAAATTTGCCAGTAGGTCCAAATAATACACAGAATGTGCCCCCCTCCCCCCACACATATATTTTCCATTAAGAAATGTGTCGAAAACAATTTTAAAAATCATACTTCTGTCAAGAAAACTACAAAAAAGGGGGGTTTTGTTTTTTGTTTTATAAAATTGCTATAATCTTTGGTCAAAAAATATGCAGTCAATTGACCAGCTTGTCAACCCAAGCCTTAAATAATGTAACTTAAAATGTGAATTGTGTCATACCAAAATCTGAAAATGATATTCCTGCTGAAAGCTAATACACAATATATTCAATGTATTTTCTTTCATTGTCCATATCTATAGATCAACCTATCAATATATTGAGACAAAACCAGACCATAATACTATATATGTAGACAGTGACAGAGAGATATGTATAAATGCTCCATCTTAATTTTGAGTTAACTAGTAGAACAGAAAATCTTATTGTATTCTTTCAGTAAAATATGATTTCTATAAATACTGCTATTTAATATAATTTTTATTGTTCATGTTATTGTACTGTTTTGGCAAAAGTTGTAAATAAAGTTGTAAATAAACTACAACTGTACTATTACCTGTAACATAGTAGTAACATTACAAGAGGGAACTATAACTTTAAATTCAAAAAATGAAGTGTGAATTTACATTCAAGCTTCTAACTCTATATTTATTAGGGCCGTGTGAAATGGCACCATTCCGTTGCACCTTGAGTTTTGACGGAACAGTGTTTTGTATCAAGTTTTATTTCAAGTCGAAACACCTGTTCCGTTCTGTTCTGTCAAAACAGAAAGGCTGTTTTGACACGGTTTCAAGTTTTGCTGGGGATGGGAAGTCAGCCCAGCTGGGCTGCTTCCTGGTCCCCCTGGCTGCATTGTGCCTGTGCTGCCTCCTGATGTAGCGTGGGGGACCGGGAAGCAGCCCAGGTGGACTGACTTCCCATCCCCAGCATATGGTTGAAACGTGTCAACTTTTAAAACATTTCAAACAGCCTCATTTTGTTTTGAGGTTATTTTGTTTCATTCCGATTTTCCTGTTTTGACCTTGAAATTGCCTCCCACCCCTGGCTCAGTGTAGCGCAGGGAACCAGGAAGCAGCCCAGTTTTTGTTTCACTGTTTTGACAGGACAGTCCCTGGCACGCTGTGGCTTAACACATACACATGACATGAGTTTTGCTTTCAAGAATTTGGGGTGCAGTTTCCCCAAACCCTCTGCATCTATATCCTTGAAACTTGGCAGGCTTCATGCCCTCATAAGGGGCTACCATTTTTGTAGCTTTCATCCAAATCAAGCCAGAAATGACAAAGTTATAGGCTGTTTTGTCCTTCGCCATTATATCCTATGGGCAAAACATCGAAACAGTTTTGCCATTTTGCCGGAACAAAACAGAACAGCTGTTTCGAATCGAAACAAAATTCTAAACAAAATGCTGTTCTGTCGAAACACTGCTCAAAACAGAATGCTGCTGTTTCGCACAGCCCTAATGTCTATGTGCTACTTTAATGCAAGTAAGAGATAATAATGATAATATTATTTTTCCTGGTGGTAAATGATTACCTTGTTCTCTGCTACTTTTAGATTCTCTAGGAATTAATTGTGGAGCTTTCAGTATTTCAGCCTCCTGAGAATGTGTTTTATTTCTTTGGCCAAAATCAGATGCAACGTTTAGACTGTTCCAAATGTGGCTTAGAATAGGAGCATACAGACATATATGCCAACTTAAGTGGTCTAAAGCTAGCTGCAGCATGAAAAAGTTCATGTGGAAAAAATCAGGTACTATTTTAATTTGTTACACTGTATACATCCTGTGTTCTGTGCATGCTCACTGTGCTGTGACATGGGCCCAGTCAGTGTTCTGACTTGGGTTTGTTCCAAATTGAGCTTGTTCTGACTTGCAAGCCCAGTGTCCCACCTATGCAATAATCATCTGTACTGACTTGTCCATGCTAAGAGAAGAGCACCATCTTTCCTGGATTTTAGATACATACATTTCCAGTGATTAATGCCCACTAGAGTTATGACAGTATGATTAAGAGTAAAGAAACTGATCAAAATATGCTCATCTGTCTCACATTTCTTTTTCTCTAAGGCTTGCAATGTTCCTTAACTTCATTATTTAGGGAAAAAAATACTAAAAATGTTATTTCTACTACTCCACAGTGAAATTTCTCTTTTCAGTGTCAGTATGACTGAATGGATGGTAACCTCAGAAGGGCAGTGTGTGGCGTGCACACTGGCAATTAAACCCTAACGAGATGAGATCGGACTCAAAGTCTCCATAACTTATTTTGCCTTTCCTTATATAAGCATGTCTAGCCTTCCTTAGTTCTACGACTGTTTCAACATTATAATAGGAAGAATTTCAGTGCTCTTCAATTCCTCCTCAGCATATTTCCATCCAGGGCTTAGTATCTCTATTATCTATTTATTTTTTAGTGCTGCAATTCACAGCATCTTTAAGCAGTACGCCAAGGACATTACATATATTGCCTTTCATGGTATACATTATGTTGGTAGCATTTTCTGGCAGAAGACAAGGCAATTTATGGCCAAAAATAGTAATAAAAAAATAAGATGCAATGTGTACCTGACGAGGAGTCAGGAGACCTAGGTTCTGGTTTTGGCTTTGGATAAGTCATTTAATGCTCTTGTGCCTGGTTTTTTTCCACCTATAGGCATTTTGTAAAAGTACTTTGCAGCTGATAGATGAAAAGTGACATATATGGCAAGGTAATATTTTCTGCAACACTAATTCAGCAACAAGCTGTAATTATATTAATCTCCTAAAATGTTGGTATCTCTTAGTATAATATTTCTGTGAATATTTGGTTAGAGTACAGATGATCAGAAATTTTCTAATAAATTATTTTACAAATGGAAAATATCAAATTGTCAATACAGAACTTCAGGTCCCCCAGGTGAGTGCCATAAGTACTAGGATGCATGCTAATCAGGTATAGGATTTCTTACTATTGGCTTTTGTTTAAAAACCATAGTTGAAATGGCTTTGGTTTATTCTAATATGAAATAGGAAACTTTCTGAAATCTCAAAAAGTTTTATGGAAAAAAAATGTCCTGTCTAGTTCTGGGTCAGAATAGTCACCATCACTATTTCCTTGTGGTGGTGATGTCACCTACATGCCTCATATTTATTACCATTATATTAGAATCATTTTACTAATGGTCATTTAGTCCAACTAATTAGCGAACAAAAGACAATGTCCAATGGTATTTTGTATTTAGTTACATGCTTATAGCATAATGGGCATGTTTGCAGAAGGTTGACCACAGTTCTAGAGTAGAGTAACATTTTACTTTTAAACTACACATATTTGGAATCGAAGTTGTTGAGAGAACAACTGTGGAACTATGCACAAATCCATTATTAGAGTCCAATGTTCAGAACATTTTATAGTGGAATTTAATAAGCTTTAAGAAACCCACTGACCCTCCATGGAAAAGTGAGAAAAATATGGAGAAAATTCTGCTGATATAGTATATTTTCAATATTATCCCTTGTTTTAAATTTCTAGGGATATATGAATCTAAGAGTTGCCATACTGGCTCATCTTATTTATTGATGTAGTTCAATATCCTGTGCTTGGACAAGGAAAGGTACAAACCATCTTCACCAGGGGAAAGTACAAAAAATCCTGAAGTGAGAAATTAGGGAACAGCCTACATATAACCATTTTTCATACTAATGCTCCCTCCCAACTCTATCACAGTTAGTTAGAGGGGAAGGTTTTGTATCCCTTTTTTAAAAAACAAAAACACCTTATTACTGTAACTATCAATAAGGTAATTGTTCATATAAATCTCTGATCTATGTTTAATCCTAATAAGTTCTTATTTTACCAATATTCTGTGACAATACATTTATATATGTGCAGCAAATATAAACTTATCTAGAAAAGGTTTAAATTGTTACCCTTCAGTTGCCCTGATTGTTCCAATGTTCTTGTATTATGAACAGGAGTAAAGAGAAGCACTGAAAGTGTATATCAGCACATTAAAATGAAGTATATATCAGCACATTAAAATGAAGTTCTGAGATACATACTTACATACATACATACATAAAATGTATCAATCGAACATAATGTTTTCTTGATATATTTACAATTTTAAAGCGATTTGGAAGCCTACCAGTGCTTCAATCACTATAATAAGATAAATTCTAAGAATTTATTTATTTATACCTATAAATTTTGATATTTGATTGTGGGTTTATCATGGAAAAAATCAGAGCAGTCCCTGCCTCCTTCACTCACCAGGATGCAGGTCCAGACCCCTTACTGCCTACCCATAGCCAGCCCTGCCAGAGGGGGCTCCCAGCTGCCAAGGACCTGCCCTCTGCAGCAGCACCTGAGCCCCAGATGCCAACCACAGGAGGCAATGGCTGCTGTGGCAGAGTGGGATGCAGAGCCCGGCTCCTCCTCCCCCATGGGTAGCACAGCCAAAGTAGACCCTAGGGGGGGCGGGGGCAGGTGCAGGCTGCCCACTTCAGGCTTGGGCTCCCCACCCTGTTACCCTCCCCCTGGGGCTCCTCTAGGGCAGAGCGGGGCTGGGCAGGCAAGCTCATTGCCACTGCTGGCAGCTCTGTGCTGCCATGGCAAGGCACCCTCTACCTGCCCAGCAGCAGTGACGGGTACAACTCTGCATGCCCTCACCCCCACTGCTGCTGGCTAGGAAGAGAGCGCTTCACCATGACAGTGGGGGGCTTGCAGTGGCAAGCAACTTCCCTGCCTCACTGTGCCCTCCCAAGCTGGGTTCCTCCCACTGGGTTGTAGGCCCCAGTGGAAAGGCAGTAGGGCAGAGAGTCCAAGCCCACAATGGGTAGCCTGCATCCACCCTGCACAGATCTGCAGGCACATGCCCCTCTGTCCCCTCCCCCCCCTTCTCCCCCAGGACTGTATGCAGCAACAAGGAGCCAGCTTCACTTCCCCACCCCCCAGACAAGCCACCCACGGCCCTGTCCTGTTCCCTGCCTGGGCCCTGTGGGCACTCATTCTGGCCCTGGACCTCATGCACTGCCCAGGTGGGTCAGTAGCCCCAGACCCAACCCCCTGCAAACCCTGCCCAACTCCCTCCCTCTCTATGGGGGCCTCAATCCACCACCTCCCTGTCACCATACTTACCTGTGGGAGCTGCTCTCCAGGCTCCCTGGCGGCCACGTGCATGTGTGAACGGGCACATGTACATGGTGCCCCCTGCCTGACTGCCCTAATCCTGGCCCCCGCAACCCTTTGCAGGCTGGAATTCTGCCAGCCTGTAGAGAGTTCATTGCAAAAGTGGAAAATCTGTGCGTTTCTCCATTAAAATGAAAAAAATCTACATTTTTCTCAGTTAAAAGGGTATTTTTCCCCAATTTTTCTATGGGAAACAAAAAACCCAGATCCCTGATTATAAACCTGCATTTGTGAAACTTGCCTTAGTAGCTGTAAGACTTAATTGAGGTCTGCTTCAGCAGGAAAGGCACTAAATAAATTAAAATTACTATCATGGTAATTATTCATGTTGTAATTATTATTACTAATAGTTGGTTGTATTTTATTTTCTGCCTCTAAAGAAGACTCACTTCTGTTTTTCATTTTTAATTAGCAGAATAACACATAATCATAATATTTATTACTCCAAAAGTAGTTCTGATTATAAGTAGCTACAGAAGGAAAAGAAAGGCATCAGATCTTCTCTTCACTCCAATGAGTCTGTAAAGCCCAGATCCAACAAGGGACTTAGGTCACTACAGTGGGACTTTTACAGCAGGGGCAAGAGTTGATGTCCAGCCCACAAGGGACAAGTTGCACCACAGCCCCCACCTCAGCCAGTAACCTCCATGCCTAGCCAGCCCTGGTCCCAGGTACCACTGCCTTCATGTTCTCCTGGCCACTGCCACCGCCAAAGCCAGACTCAGCACTTGCTCCCTCCATTGCCACCTTCCTGCTGAACTGTGTCAAGGCTAGGGAATCCATGGCCAAATGCTGTCCCAGAGTCATTCAGCCCGGGATTGGGACTTGATATTTACATTCTGGGACTGTCCCACCCAATTAGAGATAGTTGGTTACCCTACACGGTGTTACAGTTTCAGCAGGAAGGGTCAACAGTTCCTCTTCCCCTGTCCCATCAGACTAATGCTTTGCCTAGTGATTACAGGAAGCATAAGGAGCTCATTCAGTTCTTCCCCCTCCTGCCTCTCAGATACACTTCTAGGCATGAGGCTGCATCTGCCCAGCTTTTATGGTTGGCAGAGGCACAGGGTTGCCCCTGGTCTGGCAAAGACTCCTAGGAGAGGGGCTCATTATAGTACTCCCTCTGAGTTAGTGCCCAGGGCTGGTGCCCCACTCATTCTGCCCTAGTTATGCTACTGACAACATTCTCCTAAGAGATGGGAAATGTCCGTTTCAATCTTCTCAGGCTGAGGACAGCTTAACTCCATGTCTCAGTTCTTTGGAGAGAGCTCTAACCAGTATATTATATGAAAGGTGGATCCTCCGGCTGCATCTGCTAAATTCTGCAAAAGATCACATGTAGATGCCTACGCTTAGGAGGGGATTCTGGGTTCTGAATCCTGAGTAAATGGAGGGGGCCATCTGTAGCTTCAATTTAGATGTCTCAGCTCTATAGAAGGGCAGGAATACCTTACTACTTCCTACCAGCTAGCTCTAAACAAACCCACTACTCAACTTGTCAGTTTTTGGATCTCCCCATGAACTGTAGACGCCTAATTCCAGGTTTTGGATTAAACTCTCAGGGTCAGATACTAAGGAGTTCAGTGTTACATTGCCTAAATTTTTAGGCACTTAAGTCCTTCATTGGACCCAGACGTAAAAGCATACTTATCTACATTGCAAGGGAGGCTTTTTCCCAATTGGCCAAGTGTAAACTAGATGAACAGTGTTCTTGTTTACCTGGTCCTCTCCTTATCAAAGGAACTAAATGAAGTCTGATAGCAATTCACCTCTCCACCTGCCTTGTATCTTCAACTCATTGCAGCCCCTCCAATGTACATTAAATTTCAGTCTTCAGATAAGAGATACGTTTAAAAGAGCTGTACTCAGAAGACAGCCAACATAGCACTGATAAGAAACACCTTCACAACTACTGAGTGAAATAAGGATTGTTAGACAAATTTTCTTATGTTGCCCAGCAACTAAAGAGAAATTATATGCTCACAAAGACTTATTTGGACCCAAACATAAGTCTCTGCAAGCAGCATCAGTTCTATGATGAATTTAATGTTTGCAATAAGATATCCATTAAAATGTTATCTTGAGTGCCATGCCAGGTACAAAACAGTGTATATATCCAGCTGTGCTAGCCCTGAACTGTTACACAGTTGACAGTGAAACACATTTGGGAAACACATGTAACGAGTAGCACATCAATTACTCAGATTGAATAATATGGCTATTTGTTTTAAGAGCCAACCTAGGTCAGTTACTCATTGATGCTAGTGGAGTCTGGTTTATTTTTATTTGCTGTTTAACGACTCCTCTATCACGTTAAATTGTGTATCAATTGAGTTATGTCATAGAGTTTGTGCTATTATGTATATGTCACATTAGTTAATTAACTCAGTCCTTAATCACTATCCTTTTTATCCTTGCTTTGCAATTTGAGGCCTAATTCTTCAGACACATACGTTGTTTAATAATTTTCCGTTAATTGGATTGATCATTTCTTTATGTTTTAAAACAGTGAGGAAACAAATCTGATAAAATAGAGCTGACCTATTATTGTTAAGCTAAGATGCAACACTTAAACTAAGCCCGCCGGGGGATGCAGTAGTCTCCCCATCCCCCAGCAGGCTTAGTTTAAAGCCCAGTGGAGGGTGGAGCAGGTCAGCAAGTCTAGCTGAGAAGAGCCTCCTCCCAACAGCTCGCTGCCCCTCTCTCCAAAGAGCAGACTGTAGTCATGGATGCCAAAGCCTTCCCTATGACACCAGCGCTGCAGTCTTTGGTTGACTACCTGGATCCTCCTCTCCCTCCTCAGCCCATAGCCCAAGATTGGGAGGATCGAAGAAAACACCACCTGTGCCCCCAGACCCTTTAGCCCTGCACCCAAATCCCTGTAGCGCCTCGTGACCCAGCTAGGAGCACTCCAAGCTGTGTCATTGGTGCCCACATGGATGAGGAGCATGGGATAGTGGTCTGTGGGCTGGAGGAGCTTAGGGATCTTCTCCGCAATGTCTCAGATGCGGGCCCCTGGGAAGCAGCAGACTTCCCGGGCTAAGGGGTCAGGGTGGAAGATTACTCCCTCAGTCCCCCTCAGGATGGAGTCTCCCACAACAAACACTTTACGTTTGGTCTTGGGGAGAGTGGGGGCAGTAGCTACAGTGTCCTCTGTCTTGCTGCTGCGAAGCTCCAGCAGGGCAGGGGCCTTGGTGCGGCAGGCCCTGGGGCCCTTGACCACCTTGGTCCAACCCCATGGCTGGACAGAAGGGGAAGTCCCCGGGTCCTCCCTTGTCCTGGAGGGAGACCGTGGTCTACTCTCCACCTCCTGGGGGAGAAGGGCCTGGCAGTAGGAGTCTATCTCCTGCTCATAGTCCCTGATGGCATGCAGTCTCTGGACTGTGGCCTGGAGCTCCTGGTTATTTCCTTCCATTATGGAAATAGACTCAGTTACTTCCACAGCATCATCCTTCACCTCCTCCGAGCCCTGCAGAGGGTATTCTTTGGGTAGTCTATACAAGTAGCTTGGATGGAAGCAGGCAGGCACAGAAAGATAGGGCAAGGAATGATTTATCTAGTCTTAAAAGGGAGTCCTAAATGAAAAAGTGACTAACGCTATATTTTTTCTGTAGAATCCTTACCCTTAAAAATCATGGGGGCCACGTGCTATTAGGTCTTGCAAAGACTGTAGCCCCAGTGGAACACTGCTGTCAGGGAACAGATGGTACTATCATATATCACAACTAATGCAATGAGCCAGCAAGTCTGGGAATTAACTCTGCAGGGATTCGCTTCTGGAAAACTAGTTATGGGGAGAAAGCTCTAGAGATTGTTCCTTGCCCAAATCTCCTCCTGTGGTTTTTACCACAAAAAGAGATTATGTAGATCTTGTGGATTGTCCCACTCTGGTAGGAACATCCTCAGAAAGGAAGTGGTTAGTTTGTCTAGACCAGAGATGTTTAAATTAAACTAATGCATGTATAACCATGTGGTGCTGAAATGTTACTGTTTTAATAGGTCAAGACTTTTAATTGTTTGCTGTCCTGAACTTGGAGCAAAAAAAACAAAAACAAAACCAACCAAACAAAAATTTTTCTTGGGACAAAAGAGTTTTTGTTTGTTTGAGGGGGGTTGTTTTGGGGGTTTTGTTTGGGTTTTTTTTTTTACAATAATTTGTTTTTGGTTCATTTCTTTTACCAGACCAATTTTCTGCTGGTTTTTTTACCTTTTTGATGCTGAAAATGAATCATCTTAACATGTTCTTTCTTTTCTCTGGTATTCATGTAGAAAAGCTTCATTATATTTAGTTTATTTCACACATTATTCTTTTAAAGTATAGCTATTGTCTGAAAATTCCTCAAGATAGGGTGTTTTGGAAATTGGTAGTATATATATCCATAATTCTGTTTCCATCTTTTGTATGAAAAACCTGGTGACTATAGGATAGGGCTGTGAAAGTAGGGAAAAAATACCAAATTCTTATTTAAAAGAAATACATCATGGATTTTTAAGTCAATCTCATAATTTGTTAGATCCTAGCTCATGATTTTTTTCTTAATGTTTTTAGTTGATGACACTAGATTTAGCTCATGATACTTATTTTGATTACTTTCTGAAATTGAGGATAAAGTGCATTCTTTATTTTTTTTATTCCTTTTGACATCAGTGGAAGATTTTTCCCCAAATAAGGTCTGCAAAATGTGAGACTAAACTTAGCATTGTTTTCTCATGCATGACCTACAGTGCTCTGTCACATCATTTATTTTATAGAACAACAGATATGAGAGGGAAAGTGCTTTTCAGTTGCTTTTAGCATCGCAACTGCCAACAGTAAAATGGTGAGCACTGCGGTGCACTGTCTCATATCCGAAAGAATGAACTCTAAGCCCTTGTGAAGCATATGAACTTCTCACTGTCAAGTAAGTATTTGAAATGCATCTTTAGGGGCTACATTGCAATACTGTAAAATCTGACAAAGTTTCTGCTGAATCCAAGTTTAAAATGTCTCACTTTCCTTCAAGTGTCTGAACTCTCTGACCTAGCCCACCTGCAGATGAGTCAGGTAATTCTAGAACAAGAAAAAAGAAGAAGAAGGAATTAATTTGCTAACTCCCATGTGAACAGTATAGTTGACTGAAATAGATAAGATAATGTTCAATTTGTGCAGTTAGTGAGTCAAATTCTCTTTTTGGTTATACTGAGATAAATCCATCGGATGAGAAGAGAAATTGGCCTGTTACATGAAAAGCATATTAAACAATGGCAAATTTCCTACAATATGATATGATTGTCTATGTGTAGACATTAAAACAGTTAAAATTCAGTTACATAACCTTAAGATCCATAGATGCAACGAAACAGGTATAAGCACTGCAACTCTGTAAGGTGCCTGTAGTGGAATTCAGAACCCTGCATGAGGGGCATAGGCTCCCTTTTCAGTTCATGGGGCCTCAGAATAGGATCCAAGACCACCAGAACACTGAGTATGGAGCCTCCTAGCGCTATTCAATAGGAAAGGAATGTAGCTGAAGTGCTATGCTCTGAGTCTTAGGTTTCTCTTACTTGGTACTGCAGAGGCATGTACGTTCATTTGTGATCCAACAGTCCAAAACCCTCTCTTGAAAGAAGGTGCCTATTTTTTATTTTCCTATGAACAGAACAGAGATCATGCTATCTCTCCCTCTCAGGAAGGATCCTCTTTCTATACAACCACCTCATATTTAGAGTTTTCATTCAGTGTATGGAACACTACGGTCAGTTCCTACCCCAGGAAGGAACTGACCTCTGACCTAGGGGATCCAAACTCATGCTATATACTTCCCAGAAGAGTGCTGCAACCACAAAGCCACAACCCTCTTGGGAGGAAAGGGAGGCAGTGCAAGAGGAAGTATGACTGTAGTCTAGTATTTATGGCACTCACTTGGAGTTTGGAGGACGGGGCAGGTTAGCTTGGACTCCAGCCCAGGATTGCCTTTTCCAAGGACTCCTTCTCCACATAAATGCCTCATATAGGTAAAGGGAGAAAGGAGGATGCTTGCAAGACCCAGGCTGCAGCAACAGAGACTGCTCTTCCAGTCACTCATGGGAGCATGAGAGGCCTGGCAGCAGCAAGCAGCAACTAGGAGAACTACAACCAAGTAAAGGCTACAGTCACAGAAAAGCCCAGTCAAGACCTTATGGAAGATTTGAGAGCTGTAGCAGCCACAGTCGACAATGACTTTTGCAGAGCTGTATGAGGGAATTATAAGGCCTGGCATACTGTCAGAGTAAGACAGTTTTCTGTATTTTCTAGCTAGCAGAAGTACACTGGCATGCCTCCCTCCAAGCAAGGAACATTAGCAGTGTGCAGGTGGAGAGGAACCTTTGAGACACAAAGAACAAGACGGACAAATCCCCAATTCAGCCTGGAAAAAAAGGATTGCTTACAGGCTTGGACAGTTCAAACTTGGATACTAAGGTTCACATGCTTGTCAGCTAGTGGTAAGTATCACTCCTAATCAGGAGGCCTATAAGGGGAATTCCTTCAGCAAAGGGGCTATATTGAAAGTGCAACAAAGGACTTGGACACAGAGGCTGAATTGAGGGAAAGAAACAGCCAAGGCAGAAATTTGGATGAAACCTTGCTGCAAGTAGCTCACAAGTAGACCAGCCTGAACCCACAAGCTACTGGGATAGAAGCTGCCAGCTATCTTGTGCAAGGAATGGTGCAAACAGTCTGCCTCCATAGTAAGATG